GGGGGGGGGGGGAGTCAGGCTGCTTTACTGAACAGTAGAAAGGAGTCAGGGTCAGATACAAATGTCTTTTTACTCATTTTTTAAAAAAATTTTATAGTGATTTTAGAGTGTCACGGATGTTATAGCTTTCTAAAGTATCATTAATTAACTCTGAATAATTAATGAATAACAGTACGCTGCTGTAAGTTCAGTCCATACGAGAAAAATCAAACAAGATTTTGAATGCGGTTCCACCTCTCATTAGGCCTTCCTCTTCCATTGAAATTGTGACAGCCTTTGGGTTCCCATGAAAACTGCAATGGCTTCAAAGAGGCAGGCAATGGGTTACTTTTTAGGCGGCTGGTTTTGTTTTTGTTTTAATGTTTAAGTTTATTTGAAACAAAGGCGTTCAATCAATATACAGATATTAGTGGTAAAGATTAGGAAAACGGTCAAGAAATGGGGAAATGGGCAGGATAGGAAGGGCAGTTCACTGATGCAGCCATTCTGGGAAACCATCTTTCCTGTAGGATGTCACCTAGAACCAACCTGGGTCCTAATGGAGCCATACTGAGCTCCCTACTTTGAAATGTTTTTAGTGACCTGGTAGAGAATTGCTGAGTGCTTCAGCTTGCCTTTGGTTTCCTAAACCTGAAAAGTATGGCCCACGTGTTCAAAACATTTCTTCTCACTTGAAAATCTGTAGGCAGTCTCACCACCCACCACACAGACATCACTTGCTACTCTCGAGCTTCAGAAAACCTTTCCTGGCCTCAAGTCAGTAGTGGAGTCTTCAGAGGTTTTGCTGGCAGGATGAGCTTTAATGCACATACCTTGATTAATGCTTCTGGCAAACGTACAAATTGTAAAATGGGACTTATGCATTCATGTAATGTGTATCCAGGACCCAAGGAAAAGAACATCTTGATTTTCTCAGCCAGGTGTGGGAGGATAGAAAACGCAACAGAACCTGGGAGAACAGAAAGACATTTTATTTTAGCACCTTTTTAAATGTGAAGGAAAGTAATTCTGTATCCACAGGCAGCAATGTTTTTACCACATGCATTGTTGTCATGGAATAAGTGCCACTGAACCTTCTATGTAGACTTGATAGGATTGCCTCATATAACATGTAAAAGTCAGCACTTAGGTTTTTGTATAGAGTCTTGTTGATTGAAACCATCAGCTACCTTGGATGGTGTCAATGAAGTTGATAATCCCTTGGCTTAGGTTACAAAATGACAGTTGCTTATATGTTTATTCTATATTTTTCAATTGTTTCTACAGGGAGCTCAGGATGGTATGGACACCTCCTTCCCACCACCTCAGGATGGCGTGGACTGTTAGGAGTTTCTCATGGGAAGAAATGCACCTCGCTATC